TCACTCATAATAATCTGACAATACTATAATATTGGCCATATTATATTTACATTACCACAGGGAGATGATTTTAGTCTCATGAACAACATTAGCTAATTGTTATTTACTAACTAATCTTGAAATGACTGTTCAGCACAGAAATGAAGCCCAACAGTCATGTTTTACAGTCCTGTGGTCTCAGCCTCAGATACTCAACTGATCAAAGTGATGTCATGACAAAAATGAATGGCCAACAAAACATTTTTTTCTCCTTCATTTATGTCACATCTCCTTTCTCCTTCATGCATGTAACGTTTCTCGCGATTAGTATCATGGTTGCTAGGCAACCTGAACAGCGAGACGAAGGCTAGACCGTCCCATTTCACAAGCCTCTCACTTCTGCACTTCTTGTACTTATAGGACGCACCGTACGTAGTACGCATAGTGCGCGTACTTCAAGCGTGCAGACCCTGAATTGGGACACAGCCTACGAATTTGGACAGCCTTCGGCGCGTCGCTGTGACGTAATCGGTCTACAAATGCGGCCTCAGGAGGATGTAGCCCATGAATTTGGACACGACCAGCGTGTACTTACTCGGCCGTCTTGGAACGCACCCCGCTCTTTGATCCTTTGATCTTCACAAAGGATCATTCTGACGTTACGGTCGACTTCACGTTCTCTGCTAGTCCTTAAATAGGGAGCTCCTTTAACAGTTTACATTGGAGCATTTTCAGAAACAGCCAGTTGTTTTAGACAAAGCTAATACGTATTTAACCTGTGACACGGTGCTTTAAACCTTTAAACAAATGCCACAGGAGTCATTAAATAACTTATCTTCTGGAAGCGATAGTGGAGATGAGTCACTAAGAGTGCAGCTTGAGGCTAGTGAGATGAGACTGTCTCAAATTCACAGAGACGTAGTGCTTCAATTTGAGCACAACTGTAGAAGAAATGCAAAACAAAGGGAAGAGCTCGAAAATATTAAGAAAGAAAACGCAGATCTCAAGCAAGAGCTCAAAAATATTAGGAGAGAAAACGCAGATCTCAAGCAAGAGCTCAAAAATAGTAGGAAAGACAACTCAGAACTCATAGAAGAGGTCAAATATTAAGAAAGAAAACGCAGATCTCATGCAAGAGCTCAAAAATAGTTGGAAAGACAACGCAGATCTCA